GCGGTAAGCATTATAATGTACAAGTTGATAAAGAAACTTGGATTAGATATTAATGAACCTTCATGAATAATCATTATTACTACAAATAGACAAAGAGAAAGAGCTCTAAGAATACTTAAGAATATACTATTAATCATTCAAGAAATTCTTATCAAAATGACTTTTCAAGTCATTGATTTAATTGATCAAACCTTATATTAGGAATCGATTAATACAAGAAAAATAAAGTTAATATCAACTTTGAAAATATTTAAATGATCTTTATCTCTAGATTAGACAAAACTATAGTCCCAGTATAATGTGTAGTTGAAAAAAGAATTTGAGCTATAATCATTGAGAATGAACTTAACAAAATGATTAAATAAGAATTGGAATACAAATCTGATAATTAGAAGAACAGATAGCTATGTTGTTGAGATTGAAGAACAAAAAGAAGATGAAAACATTTGGAATCAAGCCTGGGAGAAAGATTCAAATCAAACTTAAGCTGATAAAGTAGAAATATACAAAGAAAAAGTTAACAATTTCAAATATATCAATATTTTGTATGATCAAGATGGTATATTCCTTTCAATCAGAAAAAGAGAAGTTATATATGGAATGTGGCAATCTTCTGAAGGTAAAGTAGAAAAAATAAAATCCAATAAAAGCAATAGTACAAGAAATAAAAGAAGAAACTGAAATAAAAGTTAAGAAAGAAGACTTAGAATATCTATTCAATGATCCAGAATTTAATGAAGAAAGCAAATGGAAAGAAAAGATTATGTATTGTATTGATTACCAAGAATTCAATAAACTCATGAGAAAAAATGCTTACTCTTTGCCTAAAATTAATGAAATCTTGGAAAACTTAAATGAAGTAAATGGTTCTCAATATTTAATTTAGTTAATGGATTTTGGCAAATTGAAATAAATTCTAAGGACAGAGAGAAAATTGCATTCGTGATTAAAGAAGAATATTATGTATTTAATATTATATCTTTTAGTCTATGTAACGCTTTGACAACCTTTCAAAAAATTATAAATAAAGTATTGAAAGAATATATTGATCAATTTATAGCAGACTTCATTGATAACATTATCATTTATTCAAATAGTTTTGAAAAATATTGTGGATACCTTCAAATGCTCTTTCATAAATTGAAAAAAGTGAATTTGATCTTAAATAAGAAGAAATGTGAAATGTTCAAAAGAGAATTACAATTCTTAGAATATAAAATTAATGAATATGAAATTCTATCAGATCCCCAAAAGATAGAAAAATTCAAGATTTCCTTGTATCAAAAAATGTGAGACAAATTAAAGAATTTTTTGGATTAGCATCATATTACCAAAATTTTGTCAAGGATTTCTCTAAGATCATTAAACTTTTGAATAATCTAACGAAGAAAAGAGTTGAATATGACAGAACTAGTAAATGTCAAAATACATTTGAAATACTGAAAGGAAAACTGACACAAGCTCCAATACTAAGATATCCAGATTTTGATAAAATATTTTATTTTTTCACTGATATCTCAGAAATTAGATTAGGAAATATACTTCCACAAAAGGATGATCAAGGAAAAGAAAAAGTAATCGTTTATGCAAGTAAAATATTTAATATTCATGAACAAAATTATAGTACTTAAGAATTAGAATGTCTAGCAATCAATTGGATAGTTGAATACTTTTATCATTATACCTTATTAAAACTCTTTATCTTAATAACTGACAATGTAACATTGAAATGGCTACAAACTTCAACTATGAAAAATCGAATTAAAAGAGCTAGATGGTTATTAAATCTTCAGCAATATACATTTCAAGTTCAATACCATTTAGGTAAAAATAATACAAATGCTGATACTTTATCTAGAATTAATCCTGATAATGATAGAGATTCTAGTAAAATTATGAAAACTTATATGATTTCTGTATGAACTGAAGAGAATTTTGACAAACTAGAAGAAAAGAAAATCCAAATAGTATATTTCTTTACCAGAAAATAACATAGAGAAAAATGATAGCGAATCTCATTTTGAGCAAAAAAAAATGAATTAATTTAATAATAACTTGTTGATAACTGTTAGATATCAATGCTTAAGAGATGAAATGATCGAAATTTATAAGGAAAATATTAAAGTCAAACAAATAATTGCAAATCAACTAATTACCAAAGGAAGCTCTAAATGCACTGATTTTGTGATATTGAAAATCATCATATTCACATATACTATAAGGTATGTAAATAAAATTTACCTTATAGAATTATTCTTTATGATTATATTATTGGATTTGAATATGGTAAAATACATCCTGATATGAATTCTAACTATTTAACTAATGACGTAGTAGACTGAACCTTTACTTTTTTAACAAGAAAATGCTTATACATAATTATTCACTATGCTCCAATAATCTCATCCTAATATTAATAAAATAACAGAGTAAAAGCAAAAGTGTCAACATTGTGATTGACAACTTAAATTTTAAAAATAGAAAAAATTGATATAATTAACTTAAACATTATTTAATCACATCAAATTTATCAAGTGATAAGAAATTAGTTAAACAAATTATCAGACAATCAAAGCATTTTATTATTATAGAAAATCAACTTTATAAAAGAAATAAAAGAAATTCTAGAAGCTATTTTAAAGTATTAAAAACAAATAAATAGAAATGATACTCTTTACAATGCATAATCATCATACAGGAAGACACTTAGGAACAGAAAAGTCTTTGAAAAGATTAGAGAAAATTATTACTGGTCACAAATGTTTAAAGATGTTAAAAATTATATTAAAACCTGTGACTCTTATCAAAGAAGAGGGAAGCTCATGAAGAATAGTACTCTCTTATATCTAATACTAGTAGAAAAGTCCTTTGAGAAAATAGGAATAGATTTTGTAAGATCATTATCATTATCTAATAAAGTAAACTGTTATATAACCATAGCTACTAATTATTTAACTAAATAGCTTAAAGCAAGTACAACTCTAGCATCTGACACAAAAATAGTTGTAGATTTTATTTATAAAAATATAATTTGCCGATATTGATATCTAAATTATATACTTTCTGATTAAAGAATACATTTTAGAAATCAAGTAATAGAAGGCTTAATGAATAAATTCAAAATAAAATACTATTATCCACGTCTACTATCTCAAACTAATGGATTAGTTGAACAATTTAATAAGACTTTATGTAAATCAATAGTGAAAATGACAAAGAATTATAAGAATATGATAGTACTGTAAACTCTGCTTTATTTGTTTATCAGATTGCGAAAAATTCTACTACAAAGTTCACATTATTTTATCTAATCTATAAAGAGAAGTGAGATTACTAATTACTGCTTTTGAAAATGAAACTTTGGAAATAAATTTGGAAAACTTAGAAGAAAGTAGGTAACAAGTAATAGAAAATGTGACAAAAACACAAGAAAAACAAAAGAAGTGACATGACTCAAAAAACAAGTGACCCATTATATTTAAAATTGAAAATAAAGTTCTTTTATATGACGTTGTTAAAGAAAAACTTGGACTGAAAAATTGAAAGAAAAATAGAAAGGACTATTCTATATCTATGATGTACTACTCAATGAAACATACAAATTGAGATCTACTGAAAGACAAATTCTTAGAACACTAATCAATGCAAGTTTACTGAAAATCTATCATGATTATAAAATTAGAACCCTGTAATCTATGTTTAAGTAAACAAACTAGAAAATATAAAAGGATACTAATTAGATCTTGAATTTCAAATTTTTTGAAAATGTTTGAAAATTTTTAACAAATGAGTCATTTTGTAAGAAGATATCAAAATGTTAAAAAGGCTAATAATATGCTAAAAGAAAATGAAACTAAACTACTTTTGATAATTATTAATCTCTGAAAAAAGACCAAGTTAGATAAATTGATAAACTTCATAGACAAAATCTACCAGGATGAAGAACCCATTGTTAGTCGCAGTTCATACTGTGCCTTAAATGATCTTCAACTACGCCAAATATTATACATGTTAAACATGTAATACATGTATTATTTGATTGACTTTATAATACATGTATTGAATAGTTTACCTTTTAATATAAATATTATATAGTCTACTTTTCATTATTTATATTATTTTAATTATATGTATTTATTGAAAGGAGTAGTATAGTATTAGTTAACAGTTTTATATAAATAGACCTATAAGTTGATCTTGAATCAACAGAGTTTTACTCAGAGATTAAGATAAGTCTTAGAACTAGACTTATAACTCTACAATTAATAAAGTTACTATTTTACATTTTCAACCTTCTTTTTGTCTTCATCATAGAATTGATCGTGATAACCTATTACACAAGTGAATCATGATAATAAATTGTTTTATTTGTTAATCGTTAATTTCTCTTAGAAAAGGCCTTTGAGATAATTGTGTTATTTATTTTATTGATTTTGTTAATTTGATTTGAGATGATTTCAGGTCTAACAGTTTGGTGATTCCTGCCAGGAGAAAAACTTTTGAAAGTTAAATTGTGAATTAATTTGGATTTATATTACAAACTTCAAGAAGCATATATCAAATAACATAACAAAGGACAAATGACCTTATTAACTAACTATACCTGTTTAAGTTGTTACCTAATACCAGAAGATATCCCTAAAAACTTTAGGAATTTTTGGAATTGGATTAGTGCAGAGTTTGAAGCAATTATATTCACTGAAAAACTATATCACTATTTGACCAACTATCAGAAAAACTTGCCACTCTAATCTTTCTTGAACAACTACAACTTGATACAACTACAGCAGTATATTTAAAACCACTGCAAATTAGAGTTAAAAAATTATTATAGCTTAACTTTTATCAACCCTAAAGTACTTGAATCGAATTCAGAATTTATAACTTTAAGTGTAATTAAAGCGACAAAAGAATCAAACTTCTTTAAGGAACTAATCAAAACCCAATTTGACTTAATAGCATCTTTAGTAATAAGCTCTACTCTGATACTAATCGACATCATGATAGGAGAAAATAAAAGTAATAATCAACAAGGCAGATCAAAACTACCTAATCAAGAACATCGTAATAGTCTTAAGTATGAATAGAGAGGCGATAATGAAGATTATAAATTTAAAGATAATGAAGCATTAAACAATAATAGTATTGCAGTGATTATTAGACAAATGAGTGACTCTTTTAAAGAAATTGCTAAAGAAATTAGAGATGCTTGATTGCAAGTATTTCTAAGAAAAACTAATATTATACCAATACAACTATTTTTAGAAAATGATAGTGAAAACCCAGAAGAATAGCTTAAATATTTTAAAATAGCTGCAACAGCAAATAATTGGACAGCTAAAAGAAAATATAGTATTATTATAGGATATCTAAGAGGATCAGCAGCATTATGGTATGATAATATATTAGCAACTATTTATTATTGGAGTATGCAAAGATAACCCAATATGAGCTTTGTTTCTATATTCAAAGCTTGCTTTACTACAACCAGGCAAAAGAATAAATAGTATTACGAGTTATCTAATATCAAATAAATGATAAATTAAAGTGTAGATACATACAGTGTTAGATTTAACAATCTTAAAAGATTAGTTGATCCAGGTGATCATTTACCAGACGATTATGAAATTAGACTATTTTTAAATGGACTAAAATCTAACATTACAGCAAGAGTCATAATGGCAGATTCTGGTAATCTAAGAGCAACTATTAATAAAACCAGAACAACTGAAGCTGAAACATATTATTGAGAGAATCTCTACAAACTATGAACAATAATGCAATTAAAGCTTTAAAACAAATGGAACAACTTTCTCTCAACTATGCAAATATTGTTAATGTATTAGCAGCACAAAATGGAACCCTGAGAATTATGAATTTTTCACCCAAAAATACAAATGTCACAATAAATAATAATAATAAGAAACCTTTTGATAAAGGCTAAGTAGTTTGCTGGCAATGTGAAGAAAAAGGCTATTATTCTAAGAAATATTTATCTGAAAGACCTCTTAAATCGAAACAAAGAGATGCTAATCTAATTAAAATTTTTACTAATGATGAAGGGAAAGAAGAGACATCTGAAATATATGCAGGAAAAAGGTCTTGATTATATACTACTGATAGAAAAAATGCAAGAGCATGATAAAGAGAAATGATTAGAATCTCTGAGTTAAATAAAGAAATAAATCTTAGGACTTGTATCATTAACCTAATTAAAATGGAAGTAGAATCTACCCTAAAGAAAAACTAATTAAAGAGCACAAAATCCTTTGATGATTAATAATCTTGCATAATATAATATAGCTGATGATATCCTTTCAAGACAATCTTTAGCAACTTTAGGACAGTAGTTACAAATACCAGCTCAAAGAAGGAATTTAGCAAATGCTTTAAGACATCATCTTGTATTAATACCTAATGTCAATTTCTTAGAATTCTTGGATGATGAACATAAAAAAAAAAAAACTTCTTGTAAAGCATATATTAGGATTAAAAATAATCCCATTGAAGCTATAATTGATACAGAAGCAGCTGTCAGTATTATTATTAACAAATTAATCAGAAAGTTAGGACTTAACATTGATAAACCCTCTAAATTAATTGTAACTACAGCAAATAGAAGTCATGTGAGAGCTTTAAAACAAATTACTGAAGCAAGAATAATCATACAATATGTGTCAGTTCTAGTAGAATTTCAAGTGATCGAATTCCCATAGGATACATTATTATTAGGAGTAGATTAGTGTATAAAAACCAAAATGAATCTTAACTTTAATACACAAACTGCTTCTATTTTATATGTTACTAAAAGAGCTACTTTTAATATTCTCTTTGAAGAAGGAATGGTAAATGAAAGGAAAAATCTAGATCAAGTCTTGGATGAATATGAGGAAAAAGATTTGATAAATACAATGTATTTTTAAGCAAAGTTGAAAATAATATCTAACTAAAATATATAATGAATATTATGTACAATCACCAAGATATTATGATGTTACAAAGAATTAATTTGCGAAAAGAAATGTATAAAATGTGGCAAGTGTTAGGTGAAAAGGTGGAACCTAATGAAACATCACTTCAAGAAGTATTAAAGGAAACACATGAAGAAACAGGTATTCCAATCAAATCTGAAGATGTGGAGTATCTTTTTAATGATGACTTTTATGACTGTGATGTATATATTACTAGAATTGCATCAAATTGGATCTTTAAACAAACTGAATCAGAAAAGCAAGGAAAATGGTAGTCATTTTATTTTGAAGAATATGCAGATATAGCAAAATAAAGAGAAATGACTCTACTCATACCAAATATGCAGACAGAATCCTAGAAGAAATTTGTATAAAAATGCATAAAAATAAATATCCAAGCATATATTTAGCTGATCTACCAAAGGAAGAGCAAGAAAAATCTAAATTACAAGTTGGACCATTAAATACTCATCAACAGAATACTTTTTAACAAATTCTTAAAGAGAATAGTTATTTATATATTAGAAGCTAAACGGATACAGGATGAACTGTCATCATTAAACATTTAATAATCTTAGAAAAAGACATACTAATTGCACAAACAGCATATAGATGCAGTTCAGATAATCAACAAATTCTGCATCAAGAAATTAAAGATATGAAAAAGAAAGGTATTGTTAGAAAATCAAAGAATTCATGGGCCTTACCAGTTGTAATTGTAGCAAAAAAAACTGGAAATAAAAAGATATGTGTCGATTATAGAAAATTGAATGCAGTCATAAAGAAAGATGTTTACCTTTTATCTAAGATTGATAATATGCTAAAATCATTCAGAACAGCAAACTGGTTCACTACTCTAGATTTAGCTAGTTGTTAATGACAAGTTAAAATAGAAGAAAAGGACAAGAAAAAGACTGCCTTTATTACTAATTTCAGGTTATATAAATTTAACATAATGTCTTTTGAACTATATAATGCCTCAGGAATCTTTTAAAGATGCAGCTAAATTTTTCTCAGTATATTTAAATGATATTATAATTTACTTGAAATCTTTTGAACAACTCGTTGATTATATTAAACAAGTTTTTTAAGCATTGAGAGAAGCTAATTTAAAGATTAAGTTAAAGAAATATAGTTTCTGCATACCCAACTTAACATTTCTAAGACATATAGTTGGAAAAGATAGTATTCAACCAGATCTAACTAAAATTGAAAAAGTAAAAGATTTACCAATACTAAAAGATATATTTTAAGTTTGATCATCTCTAGGATTATTTTCTTATTATAGAAAATTTATTAAAGACTTTTCGCAAATTGCAAAACTTATTAATACTTTATTAAAGAAAGATTAAATATTTAAATGGACTGAAAAGCAACAAAATGCATTCAATCATCTAAAGAATTATTTGATTAATACACTAATTTTACAATATTCAAATTTTGATGAAACTTTCTATTTATATATCTATACATCAAAAATAGGTTTAGGAGTCATCTTAGTACAAAAAGATAAGAAGGGAAGAGAATATTCCATCGTTTATGCAAATAGAAGTTTAACTCTAGCAGAAAAGAATTATTTAGTTACATATCAAGAATGTTTAATGATAATATGGGCTATTTAACATTTTCACCATTACCTATGCATCTCTAAATTTAAATTAATTACAGACCATTCAATGTTAAAATGGTCACAAACATTTAAAATACCAAAAGAATGACATGCTAGATAGATAATGGAATTACGATCCTATAACTATACTATTCAGCTTAGACTAGGAAAATATAATGCAAATGCTGATGCTTTATCAGAATTAATGATAAATGATCTGAAGAAGAAGAAGATATTTGTAAAATCTTCATAGTATCTATCTGTGATAAAGAATCTGAAATTGAATGGCATTCTTTGACAAAAGAAAATTTAATACTTGATCCTGAAGAATTATGGTTTGAGAGACAATTATACTAATAATTTGCAAATGAACTATTAATTACAACTATTAGATATCAATCATCTAAGAATGAACTAGAAGATATCTATTATAAATATATTAAAGTTAAACAAGTTATTGCTGGATAGCCTATTATAAAAGGAGGATTTCAATGTACTTTTAACTGCAATACTGAGAACTATTATATTTATACTTATTGCAAAGCCTGTAAAAAGAATCTACCTTATGAGACAGTTATTCATAATTATAACGTAAGATATGAATTAGGACAAATACAACCTAATATGAATCCTAATTATCTTTGTAATGACATATTTTGGGAAGAACCATTAATAATGCAATAATAAAATAATAATATTTTATTAAAAAATTTACTTGAAGAACTTCTTAATGAAGTTCCTTTATTAAAACTAATTTTATTAAGATAATAATTAGAGTGAAAATGTAAGTATCTACAGTCTAATAGACAGCTTTACAATAAAATGGATAATATATATTATACCCATATTTTTAACTATTTAAAGATAGAGTTATTACTATCAAATTTAATAACGATAGAAAAACAAAGAATTAAGCGACAATCAAAGAATTATATTATTAAATTTAGATTTTATATAAAGTAAAAACTATTATTCTTAAATGATTATTGAGAGTAATAAAAATTAATGAATTAGATGTTTTATTGTATATGACACATAATGATTCTTTAGGAGGACATTTATCAACAGATAGTATATTTGATAAGATTAAAATACAATATTATTGGTCTCAAATATATGAAAGTATACGAGAATATATGAAAAATGTAATTCTTGTTAAAGAAAAGAAAAATATAAATGAACTGAACCTTATACTTAATAGATATAGGAATCTCATTCTATAGAATAGGAATCAATATTGTAAGACCTTTACCTATCACAAAAGGAAAAATAGATATATCATGACAGCAATAGATTATATGACTAAATGGTTTGAGACTAGAGCCTTATCAGAAGCTACTGCAGAACAAGTTGCTAATTTTATTTATGAAGATATCATATGTCAATATGGATGTCCTTAAAAGATCTTATCTGATAGAAAAACTCATTTTTATAATCAATTGATCACAAAATTGATGAAAAAGTTCCAGATCAAATATAATTTCTCAACCCCTTATCATCTTCAAACAAATGACCTTGTGAAATGATTTAATAGAACTTTAAGTGAATCTTTAGCAAAATTGATAACACATGATAAGGAGTAAGATCTTTATATTATACTAGTATTTTTTGCTTATCGCACAAGTCTATATTCAACTACAAAAATAACATCTTTTTATTTATTATATGAAAGATCAGCAAAGTTACCCACTGATGATCCTTTAAATGAACAATCACATGGTAATGTAAATACTGGAATTAAGAAATTGATAGATAATCTATTAATAATAAGGTTTAAGGCTAAATTGCAGATCAGAAATAGTTAACAAAGGCAGAAAAATCAACATGATAAGAAAATCAAAATGAGATCTTAATTTAAAATTGGAGATAAAGTTCTATATTACAATGCAGTAAATGAAACAAAAAGATCTGAAAAATTAGATTCAAAATGGAAAGAACCTTATTATATCCATAAGATCTTAATAAATAGATCTTATAAGTTATATAAGATAGAAGGACGAGTTTTGCGTATACTAATAAATACACACAGTTATTGAAAGCTTATTATGAAGATTAGATTAATTATTCTTCTTTTATATTATCATTTTATATATATATATATATATATATTTCTTTTGATATATGGAATTATAAAGTAAAATTTTTACAAGTCTAAAATTATTAATTCTCG